GTAACTTGGCTGGTTGGTGGAGGAAACAACCACAAGGTGGTGATTCTGGTTCATATATGTGATAAACCACAGGAGAAATATCACCCAGCTCAGTTCCCCTCAGCTCTATGAAGCTTTTTGGCTTTTTCAGCTCCTTGTTTTGGTTTTACAGCCCACGACTTACTTACTTACTTACTTACTTACTTTTTCTTTCTTTCTTTCTTTCTTTCTTTCTTTCTCTGCACCAGAAAGAAGCTGTTCAGTAAATCGGCTCTGATGAGGACACTGTCCTCTACCTGCTGAGCTCCAAACAGCAGACAGACACAGTCAAGGAGGAGCTGGTGAACACGGTGGAGCCAGATCTTACACTTGGTGCAGAGTTGGTGCAGAGCTAAAGGGGGGAGTGAATATTGGCCTTAGATTCTTCAGAAAACTCAGCACTTATTGAAATTGTATCTGATGTATAGTTTGCTATTGTTAAAGGGCTCCAACATAGTAACACACAGTGCATTTCAAGCAGACCCCATGTTTTAATCAGAGGAACTGATTTCATCCACTTTCATTTCATTCTTACTGCAGTCACACTCTGACAATGTCTGGAAGTGCCGAATGTGTGTGAATACCATTGTGTCCTAAGATCAGTGTTACCATGGTAACAATCAATGACACCTGTGCTGACCAGTAGCACCCAACAGTAAAAAACAGGAAAACATGGCTCATAATATGTAGTTTGCTGACATTGTTATGGAGAGAGTAAAGAGAAGAGAGAGAGTTTTTAGACCAAATTAAATTTTTATTTTCATTGTTTCACTCTTTCATTCACTCTCATAACTGTTGAATTCTTCCTAAAGACAAACATTTTCTGCTGAGGGTAAACAGAGCTGAGAGGTTGGATGCAGTTCCTCGGTCGGCCATTTTTTTTATTTTGAAAGACATCTTAATTTACCCAGAATTCATTGTACCACAGTCCATCTTAAAATAGTCAAGAACTAAACTGCTTTGTGCAACAGGTGAATTCAGACTCAGTCTATCTGAAGTCTGACTGTTTGTTCCATGTAAGACACAGTCAGAGTCTGTCTTTGTGTTCAGAGTCATTGAGGTGAGTCGCTAACCCACCTGGTCATCATGTGAGTCGTTAGGTTGCCCTTAATCCTGGTGTGGATGGGTGACTGTATTGTAATTGGGTGATAAACAGTGTGTAGACCACCTCCTATATTTAGTGTTGGTGGGTCTTATACTCTTTCAAACCATGGGTCCTCTCTGGAAGTGGACATTCAGATGAGTGTCCCTGGTCCTCCAGATGTAGGTGGACTGCTGAGTCCTGACCTGAGGAGCTGGATCTCCTGTGTTGTGCCTTGTGCTTGTGAAGCAGTTGTTTTGTTACAGGTCTGTGCTTTCCTCACTGCAGTGAACTGTGTACACTACACTGCTCTGCCTCTGTCTGGGTGTTTGGTCCTCAGGGTGGAGCTTCTCCTCACAGTCTTGATGGGCTTGAAGTGCACAGGGATTCAATGTTTGTTAAAGGAACGTATTGAAAGACAGTGTTGCTCTGTATCTTTTTGTGTTTTTGACAAAGACCCAGTTTCAAGGTTCGAGGTAATCTTTAATATTTTACTGCACAATGTCACGATACTGTCCAACCTGCTCCTGTGTTTCAGGATAAGTGACTCAAACCAGTGGATAAATCAAAAGGTGATAACGGACTCAATAAAACAAGAATAAAACATTTTCATAAAATAAGTGTCAACACTAAAACTTACAAGCTTTCGCTGGTGGGCCTTAACACAAACGGCATCAGTGTTTTTGCCAGTGTCAAATTCAGTGTCAAGTTTTAGTTTGTTGTCAATTATTGTCCCCATATACTTGCGCTGTTGGACAACTTCAACAGTCTGGCCATGAATAAAAGCAGGAGTAACAGGTGAAGGCACGTGTGGTTTGGGTCACCACACGTCTTAAGTGTTTGTTCCTTCTCTGTCCCCTCTGTCCTCTGCCCTTGCTCTGAGCCTGATGGAGTGGAGTCTGATAACCCCAGCTCGTGCTGCAGTGGGTGGTGAGAATCAAAGAGTGAATATTGATTTGTCTGTGTGTGGGCTTTCTCTATACTTCAGTGTTGAGGCCTCTGTCATCTCCATGTGCACAGCACAGTCTGTGAAGGCTTTCACTTCCTGTGTTTTGATATTGGCCCAGGTGTCATCAACGCACCCAAACCAGGGGCTGAGACCCATTACTGTGAAGGACACAGGGGCTCTGCTCTCTACTTCCTCCAGCTGTAGTATTTGCAGCCTGTGCTTCCATGATGTTGAGACGCTGCACTAAAGCATCAGCTGGATGGATAAACTGTTTGTCAAGATATACTGAAGAAAAATCCTCAAAAAATCACACATGGTGATTTTTATGTCTTGACTCTGTGGCACTGTCAACTGTAGAGGTGCTGAACAGAACCAGGCTGTCTTCATGCTAAGCTAAGCTAACTATTTCATGGTTCTGCCCCTTATGACCCTGCCAGGACTGTTTCATTTCCTGTTTTATTTTGAAATTACCTATTTTTTTTGTGTCTATTGGTTGTTTTACTTCTTTACTTGTGTTTCCCGCCTTTTTGCTTGCCTGCCCCTCCCCGATTAGATTCGCCTGTTCCTCATTACCCCTCTCTGCTCACACTGATGAAGATGGTTCTGCTGAACTGTCGGTGCTGCTCCCTGAATGCGACAGTAATGATCTCCTCATTAATCTTAGAAAATGCTCCTCTGGCTTCAGCTTGTTCAGTAACATCAAACTCATGACTCTGGATCGCTCTGCAGAGGGAACTCTTTCTTTATGGAGACATACATTTACAGAGGAACATCTAACAACACAACAGATGAGCGAGCAGGGTGTCTATCAGTATCCATGGTGACAGCTGTTTCCTGTTAATAGTGCATCCTGCAGTTTGTATGTTTATTTCTACCCTTCCACAGCTGTGAGAGCAACTTCATATGAAGTGATATTATGTAGTGGGACATGAGGACTTGTGGACTGAGTCCTTGTGGAGGGGATTAATTTAAGAACCCAGTAGAGTCCATGGAGATGAACTCAAATTCTTGACTATATAGCACCTCTCAAGTTTTTCTGAATTGTTCTTAATGAACCTGATACTGGCAGTTTCTGCAGCGTATGTGGAGGGGCTGCTGCTTTATGTCATATAACACATATGGGTGGTTGTAACATTGTCCCATTACATGAGCTGCTAAACTATGAAGGAGTATCAGGGCCATGGATGAGAAAAAACTTACTTCAAGAAAAAAAAGTCGAATTGAGTCAGAAGAGGAAGATTTTAATTTTAATTTTGTCTTTGAGAATAAAGTCGAAATGTCAAGAATAAACCTTACATTTCGACAAGTCGACCTTTTGAGACGAAATCAAACAGCGCGTATGACTGCCTCTACAAAATGTCTTGTATAGATGAACTGATGAAATAGTACTTCAGAATCAGCTTTAGCAGCAAAGAAATTCTTTCTCTTTTTGCTCACTAACACAGTGTAGTTGTCAGCATTAGGACTGAAGAGATTGTGCTGAAATCTGCGTCTGTTCAAAAGGAAAAACCACACAAGCCTGGAAGAGGTGGCCGCATTTGTGCAAACTGAAAAAGTGGGTAATGGACAAATGCAAGGCATGAAAAATGACAGGGGGAGTTGACTTTATTCTCGACATCTCGACTTTATTCAGGAAATGCAAAATGAAAAAAAAATGTTCCTCCTCTCATTTTTTTTCTCATCCATACTCCTTCGTAGCTAAACACTGTTAATGTTCTCGTCAAACCCATCAAAGGAACCATAACTGATTTAATGGCCTTTCGCAGTTTCACTGTACCGGCCGTGTGTACTTAGAATTGCATGACTTAATCTTTGAGACAAGCACATGCTACTGGTAGGATCAACCAGGTAGCCCATGTTTATTTAACTTCATATTAAAGCTGCGGAGCAGACTGAGGCTGCAGAGCACAGTGAAGCCTGTTTTCCACTGGTCAGAAAACCTGCTAACCTGCTGGTTGGCAATGGAAAAGGAAACAATCAGCATACACTCCTGAGTCACATGACTCCTCAGGAGTCACAGGTATTTATCGGCTGTGGCTCTGATCAGCATTGATGTAAACACAACACCCAGGTGAGCCCTTTCATTTTCACCTCTTTTCCTGCTGCAGTGTCTCAGAGCACAGACACTGTAGACACACCTGTCACCTGTCCAGCACGGTGCTGTTAAACCAGAGACACTGAGGCTACACCTTCCTCTGAGAGTGAAGCTGCAGCCCTGAAATAAGTTTTGAAAACACACCATCACTGATCGAAGCCTCTGACACTTTTACAGGAGCTCCAGCTCAGTAAGTGCATGTGATGACATCACTCTTAACAGTTGTGTGTCCTCAGTCCAAACAGAAAGACAAACTCCACTGGCAGAGGAAAAGGGCTCAATCGACTTTAATTAGTGGATTTACCCACGTTCAAAAAGCCTGATTATACCTGCTAATGTTGGTGGAGAAAGATTTATGAGGCTACAGGAACATTTCAATCAAACACAGCCACATTTCTAACAGTTCACCTGTTTAAATCAGAACTGCAGAATTGGTCTGATTTAAGAAAGTACAACCTGGATCTCAGGCTTTTATTGATGGTTTCCTGTATCGGGGGGTTCAGCTGTGGTCCAGGAGGGAGAGCAGGTTGTCCTCTTATCGGAAGGTCGGTGGCTTCATCACCGACTCCTCCAATTCTCGCGTCGAAGTGTCCGGTCGGGCAAGATACTGAACCGTGTGAACTGTGTGTGTGTGTGTGTGTGTGTGTGTGTGAATGTGGCATGTATTGTTATGTTCAGCTGCAGTTTGAAGCAGCAGGAACACCTGAGTCTCACCTGCAGAGTGACTGTGTCTCCTTCCATGTGGGGGTGTTGGTAAGGTAGTCTGGAAAGTGGCCTTTAAGTTCATCATGGGCAGTGCTATCGTCAAGACAATAACAACACAAGGCTGATGACAGTTTTCTCTGTTCCTCTCCCAGGTTCTCCTCCCCTGGCTCGTGAGCACTCAGGCAGTCTGCAGCAGGACGAGCCCGCCATGATGAGGAGGAGCGACAACTACCTGCCAGTCCCTGGCGAGGAGAAGAACCTGGATGTGGACAGGAGCAGCGAGTCCATAGTAAGCAGGATTTATACTCCCTCCTGACTGTAACACTGGTCAGAAACCCCCTCACATCACGTCTGCGTCCGACCGTTTGTTCCTGTGCTGCTGGGTTCTGGTTCCGCTTCTGGTTTGTGGTGTAGAGCAGAAGCTTTCAAACTGTGACACAATGTGAGGTGACAGAGACAGGTACATGCAGGTGATATGAAAACAACAGGAAGTTATTTTGTTTGTTCCGCTCAAATGGTTGCTGAAGATAGTGAAGTTCTTTAAACCACTTACTTAAATGTTATTCTCCTTCTCCTCTCTGAACACACGCACATGATACACACATTTTTAGAACCAGCATCATTATCTCCAGTGATTAATCCAGGTAAAGAGGAAACCACCACCATGTAAGAGCTGTAAACGATAACATCTTCTTATGTCCTTGATGAGTAAGTACAACCTCAGATTGTGACCCTCTCTTCCAGTACACTGTAATATTTGTGTGGTGGTGCCTTGTGGCTATGTAGTACATCACGATCTAGAGGGAGGGGGGACACGGGTGATCCTGAAAGTGTTAGCGACAGTTCAGTTTTGGACCCATAATTCAGAACAGAGAAGGAGACAGTTAGTAGTTTAAGGCAGTTTTAATGGCGGAGGAGCAGGGCTGGAGCCTGTGACAGAGCAGGCAGATGGTGGAGGAAACAGTGATCTGAACCGGAATTACAGGCGAGGACTGAGCTGGACGTGTACGGGACGAGACTGGGACGATGAATTTAGGAATAGCTGGGTTCAGACAAGCACAAGGTAAAGACAGGAAGGAACAGGGAACATGGCTGTAGTGTCTGTGCCACATGAGTAGACTAAACAATCTGGTAAAGGCTGGAGGGAAGATCTGGGGTTTAAATACCGTAGCAGCTTGTTGACCTGATGAGGTGACGAGTTGCAGGGGTCCAGGTGGATTGGCAGGAGCAAGTACCGTATGGCCACGCCCACCGGGACAAACCAAGCAGTAACAGAGACAGCTGAGACAGGAGATGGTGCACTTACAATCATTTCCTGGTACTGTGTCACATGCTTTCTCCACCTCCCCGCCCCTTCAGGAGACCAGCAGCGGATCTAAGTCAGTTCACTCCAATGGGAGACGTGAACCCGATCCCAGATTATGATTCTTTCACGTCATAGTCACTGAAATAAATGTTGGATCAATTTCTCACAAGCTGCGGATCAAGAGAAAATGAACTTTATTCAGCCCTGTCAACTGAGACAGAGACAGGTCTGAATAAAGTTAGAATAAAGATCTCATGAGATCTCACAACGCAGATCTCTTCTCTCTGTTGGTTGTGGCTCTGGTTTCCTTGCTGCGGTAGAGCTACTGTCACTTTCCAACCACAGAAGTTAAGAGGGACTGCTATACGTGCAACCATGAATTAAAAGATTAAACTGAAATAAAACTTGTATTTCTTTGCTTTATAATACTATTATTGTTATTATTATTGAACTGTTTTTGGAGGGAAAACAGAGTATCAGACTGATATGATCTTGTGCTGGGTTGATCAGATATAAGCTAGCAGATAAAAACGAGCAGCAAAATCAGGCGCAAAACTGTATCTAGTGTTGTATTGTACTGTTGTTATGTTTTGACATGAACAAACAATCACGACGAAGTAGAGACAGGAAGTGTAACCATGTCTTACCATTGCCGCTGTAAAGCATCATCGTTTGTATCTTTGGTGGCAACCTCTGAGGCTGAAATATGAAGCCAAAACTGAAGAACTTTACAGCAGAAATCAACATGTTTACAGTCTGGTCTCTAGAACTAATTTCCTCCTTAATGACAACTGTTTATATAGCTTACCTGTTTACATTTTGTTAAGGCTTAAAGTTATGTATAATTGAGGACATGGTCTCTTTGAGTGACAGGTGGGTGAGTTTATGCTCGCTACAAACCGGCATTCAATGAAGTCTCAGCTCCTCACACGCCCCTCGCTCTTTGTCCATTTTAGCTTAATATCATCATTTCTAATACTTTTCTATATATACTTTTCTTTAGTCAGCTCTACAGGTTTTACATTTGCTTTAGAGTCACCCAGTGTCAGGGAACAGGAAATGATCTGTTTTACATGTTTAGTGACTAAAATGCAACAGAGTGCTTGAATGGTGAAACAGCCTCCCATCATCATGACAACCAACACAAGAGAGAAGCATCTACACTGGAGAACAAAGATCTAAATGAAAAACAACACACGGTTTATACCGTCTGTGAATGTTCTCATTCGTCCAGGTCATAGTTATCTCTCTCTCAAATTAAATCGAAGGCAACTGGACTTGTATTTGTCTGTGGAAGACAGCAATGTCAAAATCTTGGACAGGGAGGACAGATGGTTTGAAAGGGGAGTCAAGGAAGCCATCTATGTAAAAGTGGAGAGGCCATCGCTAAACAGGGGAGGGGGTCTGCGACACCATCTATCCCCCATCTACAATGTCGCCCTTTCATCGGTACCCAGGAGAGTCAACAACATAACCTCAGACGACTCTCAACGATCGTCATCCACCAGGGGCTCACCTGACCCTAACGACTGTCGTTCACAGGGGACAACAACAGGGTCACCTGACCCTAACGACTGTCGTTCACACGGGATAACAACAGGGTCACCTGACCCCTAACGACGGTCGTCCACATGAGACCACAACAATGGTCAGGTGAAACCAGTACTTTCACAGGTACTTTGGTGGACCCACCCACAAGAGGTTAAATACCTGGGTCCTACTCCACTTTCTTGGTCAGACTAGTGCGGACTAGAGAGACCAATACATGATGAACTGATGAAGCCGCTTGGATAAGAGGTGAAACGTCTTCCACAGACAAATACAAGTCCAGTTGCCTTCGATTTAATTTGAGAGAGAGATACGGTTTATACCGTCATTAGTGGCCTCGAAAAGATGCAATGTTCATTACAGCTCACAGTACAGACATGTTATATTATGGAATAAACCAAACACTGATGGAGCTCATTCTGCAGCCTTATCAACAGTCAGCCTAAAAATGTTTGTCCTGAGGCAGGTGCTGGGGGAAAGTTCATGAGGTTATTCAAATAAAAGGTGTTGGAAACATCACTGTGCTCAGTGATTTTCATGCTAGTTATGCCTGTTTGTTTTGGATATATCTTGTGTACATCGCTGACATTTCTGGAGTTTGGAGTCTGCAGCTAGATGAGAGCTCCTGAGGGTTCATGGCAAAATGAAATGTGGGACTTAAAGCTGCACAAATCAATATTTCACATAAACAATGAGTCACTTGACTACATCTAATGTGAAGGGGGCTGTTCATAGTGACAAACCCTCAGAGAGTTAGTATTTTAGCATCTTGCCGCTCGTTGTCTTTCAGACAGTGAGGGTTCACTCTCACTGCTCTTATAATTCACATTTAGATAAGCAGCAGCAGTATGTTCTCCGATAGACCCACTGTACGTAGGGTTGCCCCCGTCCTGGCTGTCCCTGAAAATCAATATTCTTTCTAAGGACACAAATTGTCCCGGTTTATGTGGAAATGCACTTCTAATGTAGAATTTCATAGTTTCAAACAAAAGGTTGTTTATTTCCTTCTACTTCTTTTTTTTGTTTTCTTACTATTTATGTCCAATCCTGTGTAAGTATGAATACAGGTACAATAGTGCCCAATTTACCCTATTATCTAGCAACTGCCACCTGTACATAATCATGACCCCCTTAATTGGGTGATCCAATAACCAAGTGGTTAGGGTGCATACCAAATGAGCAGCGACTTCCTGGTTTGACTCCTGGTTGGCCAGACTCTTTGCCACGTGTCATTCCCCTGCTCTCTGTCCATGCATGACAATTGCTACTGTCCTATCAAATAAAAGCAAAAATTAATTAAAAAAAACTACCCCACTTTGAATTCAGTCAGAGGGTGCTGAGGTAAACCTTTATCTGTAGAGCACCTTTTAAAATCTGGGTTGGGTGGGGGCCACGGCTGCAAAGGCGTGGTCTCCTGTGGTTTTTTGCCTGGACCTCGGGACAAGGCGTTGCTGGTCAGTAGACCTCAATGCCCAATTTACCTTATTGCCTAGAAACTGCCACCTGTACATAATCACGACCCCCACTGTAATCAGTGGACACAGTAACTGAGAATATAAGATGGGACCAGCCAGTGTAATGCTTAAAATCAGTTTGCCGCTCTATGGGTTACCAGTGTAGATTTGCCAAGACTGGTGTGATGTATGACCTACGCTGTGTGTTTCTTAACAATCTGGCAGCTGCGTTTTGAAACTCTGAGTAGTGAACATTGATTGCAGTAGTCAAGACGGGAAGAAACAAAAACATGGAAGATTTTTCTCTAGATCTTGAAATAATAATAAAGATTTGCTTTTGGCAATTTTTCTCAACTGGAGTGAACAGGATTGGACCAATTTATTTACGTGACATTCAAAATTCATATGATGGTGAAAGAAGAGGACCAATACACTGTTTTACTGAGGTGCTCTCAGAGTCTATGATGAGGACTTTTGTTTTCTCATGAAGCTTGAGGAAGTTGTTTGACATCCAGTTCTTGATAGCCGTTAGACAGTTATGCAGTGTGGAGAGTTAACTGAGGTCATTTGTATTGAAAGAAAAGTATAACTGTGTATCGTCTGCATAGCATTGATGGGAAGTGCACTTAAAACGACTGATTAAGGGGCCAAGAGGGAGCATGTACCGTCTACATGGGTACTAGCAACCCTAACTGTACCTGCACAGCACCAGACTACTGACAGACAAAGCTAGGGCCAGATCTTTTCCCCCAGGAGGTGGAGGAAACCAACAACAGAGCTAAAAGAGAGGGAATACTCAAATCAGATACTTCAGTCAGTACACTCACATGTAGTACACTGTGTACACAATACACTCACTGGCATAGTGCATGAATTTCATATGTTTTCATATGAATCTTTTGTGTTTGTATGGAGGGGAGCAGGGACTTAAATCTACAGCAGTATAACTGTTACCTCTCATATGTTGATGTATGAAAATAC